GGTATGGTAGTAACAGCTAGGACACAAAGGATCATTACCACTAAACACTGCAGCTTTATTTATGATTATGGCGCCATTCATGTAATGCTCACAATTATAAAGACCTCGATTGTGTACCAACAAAGCAGGATTGAGTTGTGGGAGCTTACTAAGATATCAATCTAGAAAGAAATAAGGGTATTGGTAAAACAGCACAATCTGATGACGGTTTTTCTACCCATCCCAATGGTGTTGGCGCTCCATCACTTACTTATTTGTAAAATATCAATCTAGAAAGAAATAAGGGTATTGGTAAACCAACACAATCTGATGACGGTTTGCCTACCCATCCCAATGGTGTTGGCGCTCCATCACTTACTTATTTGTAAAATATTAATCTAGAAAGAAATAAGGGTATTGGTAAATCAACACAATCTGATGACGGTTTGCCTAGCCATTCCAATGGTGTTGGCGCTCCATTACTTACTTATTTGTAAAATATTAATCTAGAAAGAAATAAGGGTATCGGTAGACCAACACAATCTGATGACGGTAATGGCCTAGCCATCCCAATGGTTTTGGCGCTCCATCACTTACATATTTGTGAAATATCAATCTAGAAAGAAATAAGGGTATTGGTAAACCAACACAATCTGATGACGGTTGGCCTAACCATCATAATAGCGTTGACGCTCCATCACTTACTTATTTGTAAAATATCAATCTAGAAAAAAATAAGGGTATTGGTAAACCAACACAATCTGATGACGGTAATGGCCTAGCCATCCCAATGGTTTTGGCGTTCCATCACTTACATATTTGTGAAATATCAATCTAGAAAGAAATAAGGGTATTGGTAAACCAACACAATCTGATGACGGTTGGCCTAACCATCATAATAGCGTTGACGCTCCATCACTTACTTATTTGTAAAATATCAATCTAGATAGAAATAAGGGTATTGGTAAACCAACACAATCTGATGACGGTTGGCTTAACCATCCCAATGGTATTGGCGCTCCATCACTTACTTATTTGTAAAATATCAATCGAAATCTCAATCTTAGAAATTTCAAAATAGCTCAGAGTGTTGAAGATATTCAGTTGATACAAGCTGCATGATTCACACTGATATAATTGCCTTGTAGTCATGATAAAATCTTGGTCATGGAGATTAATAATCTCGGCTTTGGTAAAATCAAAGATTTTTATGTTGCTGGTAATATTGACAGGTAGGAGGGACTTACCTATAGCTATTAAGAAATAAGAAGTGCGTTTAAGGTAATGATATACCGCATTCGACCTAATAAGTGCACTACAAAAACAGGAGAGGGGTGCATTTAATAAATCTCTTTTGTGCTCGAACTGGTAGAAACTAACCGAGTCTGCATAAAAATATGTTCAAACCGGCCGAAACAGGACTCCCAATTATATGTCAATCTTTCAAAGAACAAACCAAATAGCTTTAAAATTTGCATTCATCTTGAATAAAAAAAAATAACGCTCGACCACTGACCTACATTGCCTATAGTAATTTAAACGCTAAAGCGCACAAAAACTTTGGTAAAAAAGATGAAGATCATGTTGACAGACCAATGAAGTAGTCAACCTTTTTACGTTTTAATTTAGCACACCCATCTAGCTCTTTCCTAGATAAATGTGGGGGTGTACTTCAATGGGGTGGGTGTGCTTATTAGGTGGAATACGGTAATAGGCTGCTTGCTGATTATCCATCCACAAATTCTTCATCAGTTGAGTTCGTCCAGCCTTGGTATTACTTGCCTTGATTCAGCTTTTATATATAATGCAGAAATCAGTGCGCACAGCGTGCATTGGAAGTGCAGAGCACGCGCTTACTCGGTACAGTCCACGTCAGTTATGCGTGCTGGTTGGACAGTAGAAATGAGGAAGTGCCGGGTAAGCACAGACCACACACTGATCAAGTGCACAGCACGCACCTGCTTAGTGCACCGACCGTGGGAAAAATTTAAAAGACTCACGGAGTCAGTGCTCCTTAGCTGTAGAAGGCACGCGCGTCACCTGTACTGGGGTGAATCCGTAGCCTGGCTGCATCCCGAACGCAGCGAAAGTTCCTCATGCACTAAAAGTGCTACGGCGTGTCTGTGTGCTCCCAAATCCGTACTGAGGTGGTACTCACCACATAAGGATCCCCAAATTTTGCCCACGTTTTTGCAAGTAGACAGCACACACTTGCAAGTACGGCCGGTTGGGATCACGGCTTTAAGCAACCAACATTATGATCTCCCATAGCTTATCTTAATAAGCTGTCTGTCATGATCTGCATGATAATGTCCGTCTGTCTGTCTGTCCGTCCGTCTGTCCGTCTGTCCTTCCGTCTGTCCGTCCGTCCATCTACACTTTGAATTCAGGGGATTATCTCTGAACCAGGTAGTCCATAATTTCTAAAATTTCACATGGTAATAAACTGTTATATATAAATATGCAATAAGGGATTTAACAACCTTTCAAAATTAAGGTCATTGTTACTAAAAATAGAAAAGTGGGGTTATATAGAAAAAATAACTTTCATTGCTCTTTCTGAACTGTCAGCATTTTAGTTTAACCCATGGATAAATTCATTGGACGTGAAGCTTTAAAATAAAGAAAAGAATGGTCTTGTTTAATTGTTAACTTTGGCAAAATAAAGATTTTACACATGTAGGTGTTTGAAATATTTCTCATTGTGTACCTGAAGTGAATGAGGGTTGAGATAACCTAGCTAGAGCTATTTTCGTTAAAAATTGAGGATATTTTTTTAAAAAAGGGCAGTATTTGCTCAGAACTTGTAATGTAGATTGATCCGTTCACAGCTATTGAAAGCTTGTAGCTGGCTGAATGTAGATCATGTGTGTACAGGTGTATACACCTCCCTACCTGTAGCTAACGAGGTCTGGAAAATCTTATGTTACATGAAACCTGTTGGTCTACATTGCAGCAATGCTTCCATTTAGCCCATGATTTAAGGATCCCCATACCATGTTATAACTGTTATTATGCATCGGAAACTGTATTTCCAGGTTAAATCGATAGAGTAGCTTGAATACATCATTTGTAAAAATAAACCATACCTTGGCGAACCTTTATGAAAAAGTAATAAAATTAAAAGAAAAAGGTCAACAAATGTGTTTTGAATGTTAAATAGTAACAGTGTCAGACCAACTGACTTCGCTTTGGTTTGATAATAAATATTGAAATATTTCCTAACTGATATTCCGTCTTTGCGTATTGCAATTTACACAGTCCAATATCAATAACTGAAACTTAGATCATGCTGTCGATGGACAGTTATGATTTATTGCATACTTATAGACCAAGATATCCACATTTCTGGCGGTGCTGGAAAATTCTACCTTTCGGGGTTCATGACATCATTTTATGACGTTTTGGGGTCAGTCAGAGTCATTGACGTCATTAAAAGTTGCCACCCGGGCTTCATATGCAAATGAGAAATGTACGGACAGTTTACAACTTTACTAGAAAAGCAGCTGTTTTTACTGGTTTTAGGTAATAAGCAAGAAATAGAATCCATCCCTGATGTAAGGTAAGGATAAAGTTATTCAAACCCTCTGGATAAAATANAGGGGATTATCTCTGAACCAGGTAGTCCATAATTTCTAAAATTTCACATGGTAATAAACTGTTATATATAAATATGCAATAAGGGATTTAACAACCTTTCAAAATTAAGGTCATTGTTACTAAAAATAGAAAAGTGGGGTTATATAGAAAAAATAACTTTCATTGCTCTTTCTGAACTGTCAGCATTTTAGTTTAACCCATGGATAAATTCATTGGACGTGAAGCTTTAAAATAAAGAAAAGAATGGTCTTGTTTAATTGTTAACTTTGGCAAAATAAAGATTTTACACATGTAGGTGTTTGAAATATTTCTCATTGTGTACCTGAAGTGAATGAGGGTTGAGATAACCTAGCTAGAGCTATTTTCGTTAAAAATTGAGGATATTTTTTTAAAAAAGGGCAGTATTTGCTCAGAACTTGTAATGTAGATTGATCCGTTCACAGCTATTGAAAGCTTGTAGCTGGCTGAATGTAGATCATGTGTGTACAGGTGTATACACCTCCCTACCTGTAGCTAACGAGGTCTGGAAAATCTTATGTTACATGAAACCTGTTGGTCTACATTGCAGCAATGCTTCCATTTAGCCCATGATTTAAGGATCCCCATACCATGTTATAACTGTTATTATGCATCGGAAACTGTATTTCCAGGTTAAATCGATAGAGTAGCTTGAATACATCATTTGTAAAAATAAACCATACCTTGGCGAACCTTTATGAAAAAGTAATAAAATTAAAAGAAAAAGGTCAACAAATGTGTTTTGAATGTTAAATAGTAACAGTGTCAGACCAACTGACTTCGCTTTGGTTTGATAATAAATATTGAAATATTTCCTAACTGATATTCCGTCTTTGCGTATTGCAATTTACACAGTCCAATATCAATAACTGAAACTTAGATCATGCTGTCGATGGACAGTTATGATTTATTGCATACTTATAGACCAAGATATCCACATTTCTGGCGGTGCTGGAAAATTCTACCTTTCGGGGTTCATGACATCATTTTATGACGTTTTGGGGTCAGTCAGAGTCATTGACGTCATTAAAAGTTGCCACCCGGGCTTCATATGCAAATGAGAAATGTACGGACAGTTTACAACTTTACTAGAAAAGCAGCTGTTTTTACTGGTTTTAGGTAATAAGCAAGAAATAGAATCCATCCCTGATGTAAGGTAAGGATAAAGTTATTCAAACCCTCTGGATAAAATATTGAACAAAAGACCCTTGGCAAAGCCTCAGGTCTCCTGCTCAATATTTTATCCAGAGGGTTTGAATAACCTTATCCTGACCTCACATCAGGGAAGGATTCTATTATTATGTTGATAGGATATGATATGTCCAGTCAAATCCAATCAGAATATGTTCTATGAATCAGGTTTGATAATGAAGGTATTCACATACTGTGTCTGTATTTTACAGATCCAGGGCTGATCACAACAGAGGCGACAGACGAAGACACAGGTAAGTATCAGAGAAGTTCACATCAATCTACCAGCTGTCACTTGTAAATATCTAATAATATGGAAAACTTTTTGAAATGCTGAAGCGTGACATTGCAGGTAATCACACTTGCTTTCTTGAAGCAAAACAGTTTAAGAACAAATTAAGCCAAGCTAATGCAAAATGGTGTTTGATTTTAAATCTCTCCATATTTCCTTAAAATCACTGGAATTAAATTTGAATAATCAATCATTGGAACAAGGAATTGAGCACAAAATCTGAGTTTGAGCACAAGAACCCAAAACATTAAACCAGGTGAAAACATGCAGAGGGTTGTAGTGTTCAAGGAAAGCAGCGTACCCAGAGAAACCACCTAATGGGGAAGGTGACACCTAACTGTTCACGTGCAATCAAGGAAACCAGCGTACCCAGAGAAACCACCTAATGGGGAAGGTGACACCTAACTGTTCACATCCGATCAAGGAAACCAGCGTACCCAGAGAAACCACCTAATGGGCAAGGTGACACCTAACTGTTCACATCCGTTCAAGGAAATCAGAGTTAACCCAGATAAACCACCTAATGGGGAAGGTGACACCTAACTTTCCACTTCCGATCAAGGAAACTCTGGCTGTCTTTTTGTAAATGGCGTCAGTGTGTCGTCCAAACACTTTTCCTTTTTTTCTTCATTATGTCTCCCCTTCAAATTGTCATTAGGTCACTGTGGCCTTAACCTCAAGGTCAAAGGTAATACAAATCAGATTGTTTGAAACATTTGAAGGTGCACGCCAAGGTGATGCCAATGGTCCCTCGCTGTGTCTTATTTTGCTTGAACTTAGTATGCAAGTATATGATGGCATTGTTAACTCTATCCAAGCATCATTTGTGACTATGGGGTCAGTTTTAAGGACTTCTTTCATGGCCTCCATTACAATTAGAACTTGTTCATATTTGCATTTTATAATTAAGCAGTAGGCAGTTCCTCTAATAATAAGGTCATATAAGTGCTAAGTTAAAGATATCCTTATAAAACTTGGGAGTATATCTGCATCACCCACAAACGATCTACCATGCACTGTCGTTAGGTCACTATGACCTTGACTGTGAGGTCAAATAAGAGCAACATTTTCAGGAATATCTTCTCCAGGCCGTAACGTTTGAACCGTTAAGGGGAGACATGTTTTTGATTACAAAACAAATATAGTTACACATGAGACCTCAATATTATTTTTTATAACATTACATGTACAGTTCTTGTACACTTATCTGTTTCAGTTGTTGGAAAAAGTATGGCGGAAGAGGGATTATCAGACGAGATCGTCATCGCCATAGCCGTCCTCTGTTTCCTCATCCTCATCGTTATAGCCATCTTCATTATAATCTGTGTTTGTAAAAACAAAAGTGAGTGAATTCCTATTCTAATTGGGTTAACAAAGTGCAGGTGCATGCCAATCTATTAAAAGCAAAATCACAGGTTTTGAGTAATTTCAAAGGATTAACTTCAAATTTCATGGGAAGATTAATTACCATTCGTGAAAGCTCCGACAAGTTTGATATCTCAAGTTATTTTCAACAGATTAACTTCAAACTTCATAGGAAGATTAGTTATAATAAAAACTTCAATTTTGTTAATAACTACCATCATTTGAATTTAATGTACGGGCGTTTTATGTACCCCTTTGCGGTAACCTTGTTGAAAATGTATTGAATAACTTTCGTTTTGTTTCTTCCTTTGTATAGTTTCATGGTTGAGCTCTAACGAGATATCTGAAGAAGAGGTGTCGCACAAAAGTAGGTTTGGGGAGGCAAAAATTGACTTCATCACTAAAAATCTAGACAGAGTACGCTACCAAAGGGGAGCTCCTGCCTTGCGAGACAAACGACACCAGCGTTTGATTCCGCGTTACCATGATGACAGGGAGCGTTACCATGACGACAGGGGGCGTTACCATGACAACGTGTCATACTACGAGGAAGATCTGGAGTCCCCGAGGCACTACGAGAACGTACCACCAAAGTATCGGCGGTATCCAAGAGAAAACGAGAGTTATGCCCCCTCTATACATCTACGCAGATACGAGGAATCGTTAACAGATGGACAGTGAGTGGCTATGCATACAGATTTGGTTATTTAGAAATTTGTTAAATCAACAAAATAAATAAATTAAAAATTTCACTTAAAAACGCATTACGAAAAACCAAATAATTCAGTTTAGTTCCTGAAACTTGACAATATATACTCGCATATGTCTCAATTTTAGTTCTTGCACAAGCTGATAATCAGAGTGAAATATCTTACAATATCAAGTTACATGTATAAGGAAGCAAGGGGTCTAATCCATATAGATTCCAAATGTTTTTGTGAAAAGGTAGACATTAATATATAATTTTCTTATTTATATAGCTCTTTCCTATAGTAAGTTGCCGAGCAACTCTTTTAGTCAGTAGAGAGCCCCAAACAATGGAATTATTGTGTAGCAGGATATATCCGTGGGGATGTTGTTTCTGCGATTTCACAGATCAATAATTTGATAGCTAGAAAATGATTTGCAGAATAATATGACAAGTGTAAAAATGAGTCACGATAATAAACTTCATGACTGTATAAGGTTGTCATGAAATAGCACACATGTGGTTGTGACTCGAGTAATGATGTTTGAAAATAGATTGGTGTATCACCATACTAGCCGGATCTACTTTTTATGGGAATCCCCTTGTCATGGCGAACTGAAAAGTTCCCGGTATTTGCAAAAGATATCAAAGTTTATAAAATCTTTGTATCGATCTCTACCAAATACGGAAGGAATGTGATAAAAGCAAGACCACACACTTGTGTTTTTCTATAAAGGAGTGCTTTCTGATTCGTTAGAAAAATACAAGTGTGTGGTCTTGCATATATAAAATATCTGATAGTTTGTTGATAATTTGTTTTACAACATACACTTGTTATTGCTCAATACACTGTAATAAAGCCTATTCATTTGACTTTTTTACACCTTAAATGCCTATTGTCCCGCCTATGTGTAAAAAAAAAAAAAAAAAAAAAAAAANCTTGACGAGATTTGCCTTTTACATGGTGGTGTTTTCTCATTACAGCTCCACCCGGAGAAGTAGAAATCGAAGACTAGAGCCTTTGGGTGACCTGCAACCTGATGAAGTTGTCACGAAACCAAAATCTAAAAAGAAGCGAAGGAGTGAAAATGGAAAATCAAGACACCAGAAAAAGAAAATTTCTCGTGACTCTGAAGTCCCCGATAAAACTGAGGTACCAATGAATCGACTACCTGACAGTTCTAAATTGAAGGATTCGGGCTGGTCGAATGGTACGGCCAAGGACAAAGTAGCACTTGATGTTAAGCTGGAGGCGCATCCCAACGCGTTCAGTGACTCCGAAGCTAGTGACGTTGATATAGCCAGGAAAGCGAAAAAGTCCTCACATGAGGCTTAAATTACGGTTTTATTTCTTAGAGGTTGCTTAGATTATTTCTAATTGATATCATTTAATAATCTTTTGAATTAATATTATATCAGAATCTGTGTATGATTAATTGTCTGGAAACAGAATGGCCAGCTTACGGTTCATCCACATTGTCTCAGCAATTATCCTTCACAGCTGAAGTGGCTGGATGGTGAAAAAGCTGGATTATTGGAACAATTTTTGAACAGAGAAAGATTAATAGAATCTTGCGCCACCTTGGGGACGAGATAAAGGAATCTTAGCCAGAGGGGGAAGTAACTGCCCCAGTACTTGATTTGACAAACATAAGAATATTTCCTTGAGGGTTGAGATTCCCCATCTTACCTCTAGTGGATCAATAATTCTTTTTCTCTTACTCTGTTGACCTAGTCATGTTTATAAAGCAATGTTGGCATGTTAGGCTCAATGCATTGTTGACGTGAAGTTAATGCCTTGACAGAAAAGTCTCAACCCAAGGGGTAAGATTCTCAAATGTCTAGCCAGAGGCTTTGCCGAGGGTCAGAATATTAAACGGAGAAAATAAAAGTCATCTTCCGTGATCTGCTATTGTAGATGCGCCATAACACAATCGTTATGACGGGGAAATCACCCCATCTTCTCCCCAGGGTAAGATGGAGATATATTTCCCTGACCGGAAGTGTGTATATCACTTTCTCCCACCATTCATAGGTGTGTCTCCCATTTTAGCCGGGAAAGATCAGCTTGTCACCCCCTAGGGGGAGATAGCCTCGTGCCGATTAGCACGTGTTCAATTGTGACGTCGTTAAAATGCGTCATCGGTAATTGTGACGTCGTCAAAAGTGAATGACGATATGTATACCCCACATGTGTTTTTGTTTACAAACATGGCAGACTACTGTCGGTGGAGTTGTGACTGAAATGATAGGATTGGAGAAAAATAATCATCCCCTACCTTGAGGATGTATCAGAGAAATCTCCAACCATCGGGGTGATTTGTTTGGTTGTCTAACCAAAAAACATCACCCCTCGCGTTGGAGATTTCTCTGTCACACCCTTAGGGCAGGGGAAGATTCTATTCATCTTTCCCATATAGTTCCCTGACCGGAAGTATGGATATTTGTCTCGGAAAGGGAGAAATGATCTCGCACTGGGGGAAGTGGTTACACCTGTTCATGGTAAGAGAAAAATATGTCTTGAACACACTGCTAGGTAACGGGACAACCAGGTTTTTAGTTATGGCTTTACTCTGTATTGTCTGTAAGGGCTACACAAAAGAAGATATGCATTTTCATGGAGGAGAAGGTTGGCAAATTTTTAGAACCTATCATTGACCAAGTGAAAAAAATAAAAAAATAAAATTGATAGGATCTGAATTTTCAATAACCTTTCTCCTGTCTTGTGCCTTATATTTAATCCTATGATGTAGTTGTTGACGGGGTTGAGATCAAGATGTGTTCTGTTGGACCTCAAGACCAAACTATTAGTGTATATATGGCGAAGTAGAAATTTGTTCATTTACATTATTTGTCTCGGAAAAACATTATTAGATGCAGGGTTGTTTTCATATTCATCCGATACCTAAGTGTAATAGGTAGTTTTATACATGGAGTTGTTCTTCACACACAGAAAACTAGAACATTTTGTTTTCAAACAGGTACCCATCAATTCTTCCCTAAGTGTTGCCATTAGCACATTAAAGATTATTGGGCATAACTCTGCATGAAAGTGATATAGAAATGATGTTTTTATCATTAGAAAAAATTTCCTTTTTTTTTTTTTAAATTTACACAAATGATATATACAACTTAATGTAGTTTTTATTTAATAAATGTTGTTTTCCATGCTGAGGTAGAAATATGAGTAATTTTTATTTAGATGTTTAATGAATGTGTAGTAATGTTATTAAACTGTATGTTTATATTTTTTGGTCTAAATTTAGATCATAGTTATTGAGATGATACTACATTCTCGTTTAAAGTAACTTGGATGATAATATTGAAATATATATTTGATTGTTGAAAATGTTGTTTTCTTGGCTGAGGTAGAGATAAAAATGATTTTCTATTTAGTCATTGAATAATGCTGGATTTAACCGTTCACCCCTGAAATTTGATGATGGACTATTCAAACCTTTTAATTGGAAGGGTTCAAATGTGTCTTCAGGGGTGAACTCTAAGCATGTAGCTATGTCAGTACACACTGATGCAAAATATTTATTATTTTTGACATTTTGTATATTTATTGATATGTATTGATTTGTGATATGTATGTTTTTTTCTGGCTAGGCATGGGAGATCAAAATAAACTTTTATTATAATGGATGAAATTTTTCATAACAGGAATCTTTGAAATATAGATTTTGAAATAATTCATTGAAATATACATTTTGAAATGAATCTTTGAAATATACATTTTGACATGAATCTTTGAAATAGTCATTATATTTTGTATATCAAGATGTTTTATCATTTTATGAAAAAAAATATTGAAATGTAGTAGCTGATCCAGACATATATACAGTAGAATGTTGATTGTCAGAAGCCAAATTATCTGCTGAACTTTTAATTATTTAGACGCCCATGTCACCCAGTAAAAGCTGAATTAATTTCATAGCAAGTTAGTAACCAGTTATCCAAACTTCCAGTAATCTTATGCCTATGTTTGTTCTCCTGTTTAGTTAGGATAATCCCCTTTCTATTGTGCTTGTAGTAATATAATTCGGCTTTGGTTAGCCAGTCGGTAAACATTTATTTTAGAATTTTAAAAGGAATAATATAGTGTGTTAGATAAGAAAGGTAAAAGAGGTTTTATAAACATTTTAAAATCTAAAGTTTTTTACTTTGATATTTTCAACTATGCAAAGTTCCTCATTGATATTGAAAAGTCAATCAAATATAAAGTTGTTCATGGGTTGTGGAAATAAAATTCTCTTTGAAATTTTGTATATATATGTATTTCATTTTACTTTACAGGAAATCATCCGTATTTCTCAAACTCAGTAATGAGAATTTATATTTCTTAAAATTCCATCAACGAATTACATGTATAATTTAATTCCTAGAAATTTGTTACAAATTATTGAATTTATTGTGAATCGGTCATTTTGATTTTAAAGGGTTCTTCTGTTTATTGCATCAATATTTTAAGGCAAGACACCTCTATGTAGATTTAGGAACTGTAGAGTATGACCATTATAAAGAGTGTTTACATATTAAACATGTGATGTTAATATCCAAACTTTTGTATACATTGTACGTGTGTGAGCATGTATATATTTTTTGAAAATAGGCAAGGTATACATGCCATATTTAACGATTTGAGCGCGAGTCTCACGAAAATTACTTCTGCAAAATGCCTCATGGCGCGGGAAACTTTTTTTTAACGAATTTCAAATGTCAATAGCTATATCCATCATGTTACGTATAATTTACCTCCCAAAAAATCTTAAAAATAACCATAAATCTCCCATATTGGTTTCATCAACAAAGCAAGTAGAGGCTACAGAAAAACACAAATGAGATAATACTATGTTTTATGCCGTGTTGTTTCTGTTTAAATTTCTAATTTCTCACTAATTCAAATGATAAATCTCACTATTTTTTTTACCAAAACTCGCTAAAAAAAGTCACTTTGATATCTCTCTATTTTGTACAGTACCAGAAAAGCATGGCATGTATTATTGCAAGTGCATATGGTGGATCAAAACAAGCTGGGATGTAAGGTTTTAGTGTTTATTGAGACCGCCCTGACCTCCCCTCGTCTGCGTGTTTACATTCTTTTGTGCAACGTACTGGTTACCGCTCAGTATTTATGACTATAGATAACATTTCATGTACCAGGGCAAAGTAAACTACCAGGTAAACATAATACTACAAAGGTAACCAGATACTATCAAAATAACAAATTGATAGGTAGTCTTTTTAATTAAACCCCTGCTTCGACGAAGTGTTTACTTCGTCTGTCCGAAAGGTTTCCGGAGCATATCTCCCGTACTATTTCACCTATGTTAATGAATCTTGGTTTGTGGGTACATGCATGGAAGGCGGGGTGTCATGTACCATATGTAGGTCACTCTGACCTCTGACCTACGTTACGTTAGACTTGCAGCATATAAACACTTCACTTGATTCTTCCAACCCACATGCCCATCACTCCCACCAATTCCTGATCAATCAAAGGGGGGGTATTCACGAAGGCCCCCCTTCGAGTTACATCTTGTTAGTAAGACAATTCATTTCCGAAATCAGTAACCAAATACCTGTACAAATACTAGATTCATATATGGTGTTTACTCCCTACACTCCAGAGTGAAATGAGTAGTTGAAAATTGCATACAGGGTAGGATTTATATATGGGAAATATACTTTAAAATATAACTGATATTTAGTTCTTTATTCAGATCATTAATTTTTAAATATTTAAGAATTTCAGGAAAATGAGGTTGTATGTGCCATATAGGAACTATTTCAGTATTAATTGTACATGTTAATTTTTGCTACGCACTGTGTACTAGTCTAGAAACATGTACTAGTCTAGAATATTACTTAGTCTAGAAAAAAATCATTTAACAGTATTCTCATTGTCTAATCCCTTGTCTTGTTGACTTGAGTTTTTCCAGAACATTTTTTAGATAATGTACAAATGGAGGTCGCATATACAATAACATAAAAACATGGCAAAATTTGAAAAAATTGCTAGAAAAATTCCATCATTTGATTGCTTTTATATAAATGCCTAGACCCCAATTGGACATTTTATGTCAAACACACTGCGTGGGATGCATACATAGTGAATATGAAATATTTAAAAAAAAAAAAGTTCTCAAAAAATTAAAAAGTGTCCAGGTAGGATACAGAAGCAAATACTAGTGGGTGGGTTGGGGTTACATGAGATGTCATTTATGAAGTTCTTGGGACTGTTTTCTCCAGAATGAAAATCCACAAACACTAATAGAATAGATGTTGATATGACAGTTTGTGTATGATGCCACCCCTTGGGGTTTCTGTAGAACATACTTAGAGAATCAGAATTTATTTTGTAAATTTCCCTTTGTCACCTTCTATTTATTGTTTTGATGAATTTCTACATGCAAGGTCACATGTCTTACTAATAGGACATGTTGATGAACATCAGGAGTTTCTTCATTTTAAATGAAATTCACAAATATCTGGGGTCGCCCTATACAAAAATGTTAGGTAGTGGTACCTGTAAGAGTGATATACATTCTGTGACTGGATTATATTTGTCCCAGTATGTTTGATTTCTTTGTATTGACCTTGACCTTTTAATGAAGACCTTGACTTTTGTTTATGGTGACCTTGACACCCAAATATCCTGTATTTGTTTTGATATAAAACTTCAGCCCTTGTTGATCGTATGTGTACCAAGACTGGTTGCAAGGAATGTGTTTACACCAAGTGAATCATTTTTTATTAAAGTGTCTGTGATATGTGTCTAATATATTACTGTGATATTAACATATTGATATATATTTTTGTTGTTATAAATAAACAACAGTTAGATTTTAGATTTTCACAGTGTATTTCAAGGAATGTGAGGCCTGAAAACTATTTGACAACTAGGTAAAATCTTCATTTAAAATTAAGTAAGAAAAGCTGAAAATATTTTTTTACATAAAAAATGAACATGTCATACAACTGGAAATAGAAAATGAACTTTTTGCACTTGTATAATCAAGCACAGTAATTTTGAAAACTTTTAGAATTGAATTTAATTTAATAAGGAGCTTGATTTATTATTTTGTAGGAAAACCAATAGCAGCATCCTGCTCT